TTCGCGTTCCTCTTCTTTCGCGTTCCTCTTCTTTCGCGTTCCTCTTCTTTCGCGTTCCTCTTCTTTCGCGTTCTTCTTCTTTCCCGGGAGTACCTAAAAAAAGAGCAAAACAAATATCCCCACTCACATACCATTCCCACAATATAAACAATAAAGCGTATTCCACCAAAAGCGTATGCCACCAACACAAGTACTACACAAATACCACACAACTACAATAAACTACAATACACTACATGCACTACAATAAACTACAATACAACCAATAAACACCCTGTGCACAGGAATCATTCATACTCTTATATCGCTAATTACCCTTATTCGCCCCCCACGCGATTCAATACCGTACCGTTCTTCTGCACCGCACCGTTCTTCAAGCACCGCAGCCAAGCTCCGCACCTCCTGAATGCAAACACAAACAATACATATACCCGACGGTTTTGCGAGTTGGGTTACATTTTTTTTTATAACAACGCGCCCATTTCACCAAAGTCTCATGGAACAATACGAGAACAAACTCGCTGATATGTTTATAAAAAAAAAAAATACCTAACTCGGTCATAACAAAGTCGCTGGCGGAAGAACTCGCTAGGAATTATTATTAACAAGAAATTATTGACGATATGAATTATCTCCGAGAAATGTAACAGCGCGATATTCCGATTAACACTGGCAGATAGAAAACTTAACTCGATAATAACAAAAAAAAGGAATAACAATCTAATCCATGCTCGTGAAGGAAATATCCGCTAATTAAATCCAAGCAACAAACCGAATAGGCACGACAACCGCGATAATGCTCCTCGATAAAACATGTCCCGCACGTTCGAAACAGAATAATTCAATTACCGTAACTCCTTCCTGGCAAGACTCGGTCCGGCGTCCCTGGCGTTGCATTTCCAGTCCTCAGCGTTGCTCGTCCTTCTGGTTCGTCTGGCGGTGCGCATCCTTCAGATTCGTCTGCGGTGCGCATCCCTCAGATTCGTCTGGCGGTGCTCGTCCTTCTGGTTCGTCAGCGTTGCGCATCCTTCTGGTTCGTCTGCGGTGCGCATCCCTCAGATTCGTCTGGCGGTGCTCGTCCTTCTGGTTCGTCAGCGTTGCGCATCCTTCTGGTTCGTCTGCGGTGCGCATCCCTCAGATTCGTCTGGCGGTGCTCGTCCTTCTGGTTCGTCAGCGTTGCGCATCCTTCTGGTTCGTCTGCGGTGCGCATCCCTCAGATTCGTCTGGCGGTGCTCGTCCTTCTGGTTCGTCAGCGTTGCGCATCCTTCTGGTTCGTCTGCGGTGCGCATCCCTCAGATTCGTCTGGCGGTGCTCGTCCTTCTGGTTCGTCAGCGTTGCGCATCCTTCTGGTTCGTCTGCGGTGCGCATCCCTCAGATTCGTCTGGCGGTGCTCGTCCTTCTGGTTCGTCAGCGTTGCGCATCCTTCTGGTTCGTCTGCGGTGCGCATCCCTCAGATTCGTCTGGCGGTGCTCGTCCTTCTGGTTCGTCAGCGTTGCGCATCCTTCTGGTTCGTCTGGCGGTGCGCATCCCTCAGATTCGTCTGGCGGTGCTCGTCCTTCTGGTTCGTCAGCGTTGCGCATCCTTCTGGTTCGTCTGCGGTGCGCATCCCTCAGATTCGTCTGGCGGTGCTCGTCCTTCTGGTTCGTCAGCGTTGCGCATCCTTCTGGTTCGTCTGCGGTGCGCATCCCTCAGATTCGTCTGGCGGTGCTCGTCCTTCTGGTTCGTCAGCGTTGCGCATCCTTCTGGTTCGTCTGCGGTGCGCATCCCTCAGATTCGTCTGGCGGTGCTCGTCCTTCTGGTTCGTCAGCGTTGCGCATCCTTCTGGTTCGTCTGCGGTGCGCATCCCTCAGATTCGTCTGGCGGTGCTCGTCCTTCTGGTTCGTCAGCGTTGCGCATCCTTCTGGTTCGTCTGCGGTGCGCATCCCTCAGATTCGTCTGGCGGTGCTCGTCCTTCTGGTTCGTCAGCGTTGCGCATCCTTCTGGTTCGTCTGCGGTGCGCATCCCTCAGATTCGTCTGGCGGTGCTCGTCCTTCTGGTTCGTCAGCGTTGCGCATCCTTCTGGTTCGTCTGCGGTGCGCATCCCTCAGATTCGTCTGGCGGTGCTCGTCCTTCTGGTTCGTCAGCGTTGCGCATCCTTCTGGTTCGTCTGCGGTGCGCATCCCTCAGATTCGTCTGGCGGTGCTCGTCCTTCTGGTTCGTCAGCGTTGCGCATCCTTCTGGTTCGTCTGCGGTGCGCATCCCTCAGATTCGTCTGGCGGTGCTCGTCCTTCTGGTTCGTCAGCGTTGCGCATCCTTCAGATTCGTCTGGCGATGCTCGTCCTTCGGGTTCGTCTGCGGTGCCCTTCCGTCGTCTGCGTTGCTCTTCCCTCGTCTGCGATGCTCTTCCCCCATCTGCGTTGCACTTCCGGTCGTCCGCGATCGTCCCATGGACGAACAGCTGTGGTCAGAGAATATCTCATTACGAAGTTCGTTTTTTTGTGTGTACATACTACCGACAACGATACCATGAACGAAGATAGGCACCTTCTTCTTCCTCGGCGAGGACCGGATGGCAGTGGCACGATCCGCTCCTAGATGAAAATTGGTGTAAGCAGAGATTCATAAATGAAACAACGAATTAAACATTACCTTCCAACAATTCCTTCTATGCTGCGACGACCCTCTTCTTTGCTCCGATCCGAGAGTACCTCGAACATTGAAAATAAATAAAATAGCATTTGCACACAGACAAGGAAAGCGCATAAGCAATAAGCGTTCTAATAAAGCGTACAAGCAATAAGCGTTCTCATAAAGCGTATACCACCAATAAACGATAAGCGTATACCACCAAAAGCGTATTCCACCAATACTACGCAATAATAATACCAAACAACAATAATACCACACAACACAAACTACCACAAACTACGACAAACTACTACAAAGGTACCACCAATAAGCAACATGCCACACACCCTGTGCACAGGAAACATTCATACTCTTAAAGCACTAAAACCGTATGTATTCACCACCCCATGATTCCGGACAGCTGTCGTATGGAATCAATAAAACTTTTTATTTCTTAATACATATTGCAATTCAACCCTTTCTTCTTCTTCTGCATTGACGCTGGATGACGAACTGATCCGCTCCTACGCGCAAACAGAGATAAGGCTTTTAATGTTGGTTCGACAAATGTATACGAAATAAATCAAACAGTACTTAACGTAATTGACCGCTGCAGTTCCGATTCTGTGGAAACCCCATGGATGAACTATGGAATCAAAAATATATTCTTAAACAATTCGGATTTTTTTTTTATATATACATACTCCCGACGGTTAGATCAACCCTTTCTTCTTCTTCGTCTCGGAGAGGATCGAGATGGCGTTGGATGACGGTGGGACAAGATCCGCTCCTGGAGGCAAACAGAGATAAGGTTTTCA